TGTCTGGTGTTTGAAGGCATTCGGAGAATGGTGGAGATGATGAAGAGGTAAGAAATCAGGGTGAAAAGAAGGGAGGACATAACCACAAGCACAGTAAGTAGGAAGCCAAGGGATTCAATGATATGTGTATCTCCTCCTGCAATCTTTAACAAAGGTCCCTCATCACAGTAGAAATGATTGATAATGTTGGACGTACAGTAGGGTAGGTTTGCAGTCATTACTCCCTGGTAAAGAATGGAGAAAAACCCTGCACACCAGGCTGCTATTGCCAGTTTAAGGCAGACCCCAGAAGTCATGATAGTGGCATATCTCAAAGGATGGCAAATGGCTACATATCTGTCCAAGGATATCAAAGTAATGATAAAAAATTCTGTAACTCCAAAAAAGAAATAAAAGTACAACTGTGTTATACAGCAATAGAAACAGATGGAATTGTTTGCAGACAGATAATTGACCAGCAGTTTAGGAATAAAGGATGTAGTGTGTCCAATGTCAATGAAAGAAAGGTTGCTAAGGAAGAAATACATGGGCTTCCGGAGGTGGCGGTCCACAATTACCATCATGATGATGAGCCCATTGCCCATCAGACACAGGAGGTAGAGCAGCAAGACACATGAAAATATCAAATGTTCCATTCCCAAAACACTTGGCAATCGAAAAAGGATAAATTCAGTTACTCTTGTGCAGTTGGTCAAATTCATGTTTGCCTTCTGTTACTGAAAGAGAAAATATGGAATCTCCTTTGAATCAAGATTTAGCTACACTTCTAACACCATATTTCATCCACCAATACTGTGATTACGGCATGGAGAACATTAGACAGGATTATCATATCAAATTAACAAAAGTTGTGCAAACCTATGGTAGTAAGATAAGATATTTGAAATTTAATATTTCAATATCAATTATGATTTCAAAAGTTCCATCATTGGAATCCCACAAAACATGAGGCCCACCACAAAGAAACACTATCTTAGCTTAGTGTGATGTGTGAAATAGGCCATTATTGGAAAATAGGAGATCATTTGGGGATTCTGAAATGTATAATGATATTTTTGGAAGTTGTAGTCCAGAGGTGAAGTATTTCTATACAGACCAGAACTTGGGAACTTTGGAATTCTGTGATGTCAGAGTCCCATACCTCTGTGTAGAAACACTTGTTATGTTGTTAGTTGTCTAAAGAAGATAGCAGTAACCCACTGAAAAGTAAATAACACAGTGTGATAGAAAAATGATGATTAAAATAGGAGAATATTTATAGATGACAAAGAAGAGCTGGTTGAGAGGAAAGAAAGAAAGAAGTGGTGAATGATTTAGTGAAGCCATATTATACAGAAAGTGTAAGGAAAGGATGGAACACTATTTTGTGTGACAAATAGAATATTATCTACAATTCAAGGGAATTTTTACACACACACACACACACACACACACACACAC